GTCTTCGGTGAAGTGCCTGTTCATATCCTGTGCCCATTTTTCTATTGGATTATTTACCTTTATCTTGTTGTGGTGCTCAAGTATTTCATAAATTCTGGATATAAGTCCCTTATCTGATATGTTATTACCGAATACTTTTTCCGAATACATGACCTTTTAACTAGATTTCTTTTCTAGCCACGAAAGGACTCTATTTGTGATGAGATTATTAGCATCAATCTTGGGATCTGGCATTGGTAGCTTATTGGTAAGGAGTTGCACTGCCAACTCAAAGACAGGTGGTTCAAAGCCACCAGCTGCTCCGTGGAAGAAAGTTAGGGAACTTTCTCTCATGCAATTTACAACCTCAGAAAACTCACTGGAGGGTGAGCTATGAGTTGGTTCCAATGCAGGAACATCTAACAACAGCATGTAATTTGGAGGCTCAGGGGTTTTAACTGGCATGCTAAAGACACCTAACCGTCAAGGACTCTCCTTCATAGGGTCGCTATGAGTCGCCTGTGACTCGATGGCACTTAACAATAATATCAACTTAGAGAGAGAGATCAGCTGGTCCAGTGAACAGAAAGCGATGGTACCAAGCCAAAGGTGGGTGACTTTTAATCTACGGCCCTCAGGCCTGTCTTTCATTGTTTTTGTTCGGACATTCCTCTAGGTCATATAGCCCTGGTGTACAAGTTGCCGTACCACGGTCACTTTTGGTTGCTGTGAGGCTGAACAACTGTGACACTGATGTGTCAAATGTGTTAATGGTTGGCTACCAAATGTGGACAGAGAGTCGGGTGGAGCTCCCTGATTAAAACAAGCTTGGAAGGAGGAGTGGCATCCACTTCCCTAATAACTTGCCTCCAGAAACCCTATGAACCTGGAGAGAGGATGAAAGGCACCCAAGCATCGAGGACTCTCCTTCATAGGGTCTCTGTGAGTCGCCTGTGACTCGACGGCACTTAAGAACAAACAACAACAGCAAGCTCAATTATGAGTTGGTAACACAAAATTAGTGAGACTTGTCCCAATGGATTTGTGTAGAATACATCAGTTATGTCTACAACGTGATTTTATTTGTTTTTTCTATGGCATGATGTGATAAAAAAGCTTGATGATTTGAGCTTCCAATTCAGGCACTTATTATTAAGCATGTGACCATGAGCTAGCCTTTCAGAGCCTTAATATTTTCTTGAGCATAAAATGCTAATGAGAATACAAACCTGTAGGAGCCCTGGTGGCTTATGTTCTCTGTTGGGCTGCTTACCAGAAGGTTGCTGGGTAAAGTCTACCATTCTGCAGGAGAAAGATGAGACAGTCTGTGCCTCCTTAGATTTATAAACTTGGGAATAGGGGGAGGAAGAGAAAGTGTTACTTCCTAGGAAATCTGAGGGTTTGCTGTGAGTCATAATCTACTCAATGGCAGTGGGTTTAAGAGAATCAAATGATACAAGAGCACTTTTTAGAATGTAAAGCACTACCCATGCCTTTAGGGAGCTCTGGTGACTTAGACGTAAGAAACTGCATTGCACAGGGTTCTAATCCACCAGCTGCTCTGCAGAAGAAGTGTGGACAATCTCCTCCTGCTCAATTTACTACCCCTGAAAACCTGCTAGAGAGTCAGCTATGGGTCAGTTCCAAATCAGTGGCACACAAAAGCCACACATAGCTTTATTTTTAAAATTATGAATCTTTTTCTTGAAAAAGTGATTTCTTCACTTTGGAACACTTTAAAATAGTAAGGTAAGCTGGAAAAGGAAAAGAAAAATCACCACGTAAGTGGTAAGAATCTGTGCTGCAATCCCGAAGGCCTGAGGTTTGAATCCACCAGGTGCTCCATGGGAGAAGGATGGGCGATCTCCTCCTGTGTGACTACTGCCTCGGGAAACTTGCTGGAGGGTCAGCTATGCATCAGTTCTGATTCAATGGTAAACAACAATAACAACTACTACTACTGAGAGAAGTGGTTCCTTAGCTGATGTCATAATCCCTGGAAGTGTGTGTTAGCACTAAAATTGTTGGACTGTGCTCCAGGAGCTTCTAATTCTATACGCCCAGAAAGAGGCTGCATATATTGTCTTTTAAGTAAGTTCCCAAGTAATGTTGATGTTGCAGTTCTGGAGACCACTGGCCTGTCTTCTAACTTTTTCTGTGCACATACACTTTTAGTATATACTACTTACTTTAATTACAATTCATATTTTAAGTGCATATTTAAATATATTACATACTTCAAGTGTATATTTCAGTCAGCTTATTTGCTTTTGTGAAAGAAAATACTGCACAGTTTGTGACTAACTTCTTTTAGTCAGCAAGGCCCTTTTTTGTTGGTTTATTTTCTTTTTTTTTAAAACAGTTGATTTTTAAAAAAAAATTTTTATTTTATTAGTTTTGTGTGAGTGTACCATCAAATCAGATCTGACTGGTACAGGAGGAAATTGTCACTCCTTCCCCGGCAGAGCATCTGGTGGATTCAAACCATGCACCTCTGGGATTGTAGTTGCAGTTCCTTGCCACTAGGCCACCAGAGCTCCCCATTGGTTTATTTTCTGTTTTGTGTGCTTTGTGTGGCAGTGGAGCAGGCCCAGAAAGCAAGGAAGGAGATTGCTGACTATCTGGCTGCCGGGAAGGAGGAACGCGCTCGGATCCGAGTGGAGCACATTATCCGGGAAGACTACCTCATGGAGGCCATGGAGATCCTGGAGCTGTACTGCGACCTGCTGCTGGCTCGGTTTAGCTTGATCCAGGCCACCAAGTAAGATCTGTTGACTCCCAGCCTTTTCAGGCCGAAAGGAGTTGACAAACCATTCCTGTGCTACACACTTTGTCTCTTCATGTTTTGGTTTTTGGGGGATTTTTTAGAACTAAGCATGATTTGAAGAGAATATTTTAGGCAAAGGAGTAATTCTATGACAAAATTGTGATAAGTCAATATATAGCAAAACATTTTCCATTTCAACATTTTTTCTATACACTTCCATGACCTTAATCATGTTCATGTTCAACACCATCACCATCCATCACCAAATTTTCCCCTGGCTCTTAAGTTCACTCTAAGCAATGAATTTTCTTTTCCCCTGCCCCTCCTCAAGCCACTTATAAACTTTGGTCTCTTCCCATGGGCTATTCCTTGGGAAGGGACATCATGTTTGGAAAGGCAGAGGGTCAGTGAAATAGAGTAAGACCCCCATTAAGTGGATTGACACACAACAGTGGACTCAAATATGTTAGAAACGGAGAAGATGCCACAGGATAGAACAGGGTTTGGATCTGCTGTTCAGTGGTCACTATGAGTCATACTCACTTCAGTGACACCTAACAACAACAATAGTAACAACATACATGCCTATTCTAGTTACTTCATATATAAAAGAGACTTAAAAAAAAACCAACACACACACACAACACCACACAGTTTTCTTTTTTTCTCCCTGAGCTATAACAATTTGTGGAGCTATAAATTTGTGGTAGAAAAGTTTGAAAATACAGACCAAACAAATCAGTCACAGTATTCACCTTGGGGACAGCATTTTACTAGATTCTCTTCCAGTCTGTTACAGTGCAAACTGTGAATGCTAGGACCCAATAGAGTTGCCGTGTTTTCCCAGGTCTCATACGTTTTCTGCCTTTGTCACTTACTTTTTTATTTCTCCCTTTATTGTTTTCCTTCTCTAATAGAGTCCCAACCTATGCCGTTTCTGGCTTTTTCAGGTTTTATTTTATGTATATAACTATATATATCCATGTATCTGTAGATATATGTGTACAAAAGTACATAGTTTTAAAAATATTTAACATTGTATAGTGACTATTAAAGAGCTCTGGTGGCTCAGTGGATTAAACTGGGCTGTGATGTGCAGGGTCGGCAGTATTACTCTGCCTGCTACTCCTTAGGAAGAAGATGAGGCAGCTGCATCCATAGAGATCTGCGGTCTTGGAAAACTCAAGGGACCGTCTGTTTTGCCCTATCAGTCGCTCTAAATCTGAATCAAGCAGGTGGCAGTGGGTGGGCATTGTGAACCTTGTCCATGAGTCTACCTCTGAAGTAGTAACAAGAAGGAAACTTGAAATTCCGAGTTTCATAATTTTGTGCTTTCCTCAGGGAACTGGATTCTGGTCTGGCTGAATCTGTATCTACTCTGATTTGGGCTGCTCCTCGACTCCAGTCAGAAGTGCCAGAGCTGAAAATAGTAAGTGACCAGTTTTAACTGCCTGTAGCACGAGTGTAAGTAAGGATATCATTAGTGTTATCCTTGGAATTAGAGGATTATTACAAGAGAATCTTTCCTTCTCTTAAGGGATAATAAAAAAAGACACTTGCTTTTGATGATTTTTCAGTGAAAAATATTTTTTTTATAAACCTCGAGTTGCTATAATCAAGGATGCTTTTGGCAGAACGTTAAATTATTTTTATTATTTTTGTGTGAGTGTACCGTCAAATCAGATCTGACTGGTACAGGAGGAGATTGTCCTTCCTTTTCTCAGCAGAGCATCTGGTGGATTCGAACCATGTGCCTCTGGGATTGTAGTTGCAGCTCCTTGCCACTAGGCCACCAGAGCTCCCCTTCAACTAGGCCACCAGAGTTCCCCTCTAGGCCATCAGAGCTCCCCTCTAGGCCACCGGAGCTCCCCTGACAGAACGTTAAATGATCCCGGAAGTATTAAAAGAAGATGGAAGGAATATACTGAGTCACTGTATCGAAAAGAATTGGAAGGCACAGAAGAATTACATGAAACAACATATCAGCAAGAGCCTATGGTGATGAAAGAAGTTCAGGCTGCTTTGAAGGACATGGCAAAAAATAAGGCTCCAGGCATAGATGGTATACCAATTGACATATTTCAGTTAACAGATGCTGCCCTGGACGTGCTCACCAAGTTGTGCCAAGAAATCTGGAGAACGACCACTTGGCCAACTGACTGGAAGAGATGATATTTGTTCCTATCCCAAAGAAAGGTGACCCAACCGAATGTGGAAACTACAGAACAATTTCACTGATTTCACATGCAAGCAAGATTTTACTGAAGATTATCCAAAAACGACTGGAACAGCACATCAACAGAGAACTACCAGAAGTCCAGGCTGGTTTCAGAAGGGGTCGTGGTACTAGAGATATTGTAGCTGATGTTAGATGGATCTTGGCTGAAAGCAGGGAATACCAGAGGAATGTCTATCTGTGTTTCATTGACTATGCAAAGGCATTTGACTGTGTAGATCATAACAAACTGTGGCTGACTCTGAGAAGAATGGGAATCCCAGAACACTTGATCGTTCTAATGCGAAACTTATACTTGGACCAGGAGGCAGTCGTCAGAACAGAGCAAGGGAACACTGCATGGTTCAAAATTGGGAAGGGCGTACGCCAGGGATGCATCCTATCTCCATACCTTTTCAACCTCTATGCAGAACAGATTATCTGGGAGGCTGGGCTCTATGAGGAGAAATGTGGGGTCAAGATTGGTGGACGAATTATCAACAATCTGCGTTATGCGGATGACACAACCCTGCTTGCTGAAACTGAGGAGGACCTGAAGCGCCTGCTGCAGAGTGTCAAGGACTGCAGCCTACAATATGGATTGAGGCTCAATGTCAAGAAGACAAAGATTCTCACCACTGGACCAATCGGCAGCATCAGGATGGATGGTGAAGAGATTGAGATTGTACACAGCTTTAGTTTGCTTGGCTCCATAGTCAACAGTCTTGGCACCAGCAGCCAGGAAATTAAAAGGCGCATTGCCATGGGAAAGTCTGCTGTTAGGGACCTCTCCAAAGTGCTGAAGAGCAGTGGTGTCTCTCTGGAGACTAAGGTGCGTCTGATACAGACCATGGTCTTCGCAATCACCTGTTATGCATCAGAGAGTTGGACAATGACAAAGGAGGATAGAAGGAGAATTGATGCCTTTGAGCTGTGGTGCTGGAGAAGAGTATTGAGAATACCATGGACTGCTAGGAAAACAAACAGATTTGTCCTGGAGAGGGTTAAACCGGGTGGCTCCTTGGAGGCAAGGATTCTGAGGCTCCGTCTAACATACTTTGGACATGTTGTGAGGAGAGACCGGTCCTTAGAGAGGGACATCATGCTTGGGAGGGTGGAGGGACGGCGCAGGAGAGGAAGGCCCTCTATGAGGTGGATTGATTCAGTGACTGGGATAATTGGGATGGGAGTGTCAGAGACAGTGCGATTGGCACAGGACAGAGCGGAGTTTAGGGCCGTTGTACATAGGGTCGCTATGAGTCGCAGGCGACTTGACGGCACATGACAACAACAACAACAATAGTAGGATGGGGAAAGTACTAATGCTGACCTAAAAATTAAAAAAAAATGGAAACTGAAGGGAGTTTTTAGGAGGAGCGGTCATAATTTAGGTGTTTAGAATTAAAGTTTTAATGTTCCTATCTAGCAGATACTGTAAAACAATGCATTGAGAAGTTGATGCTAAAAGAATACAGTGCTAATGAAATCACTTGGAAACTATTTTTGCTCTTTGTATTGTCTTTCACTCAGGGTAAACTTGCCATAACTTGATGAATTTTGCCCTTCTTTTCTTTCTTGGTGACGGTTTGCTACAGGTATCTAACCAACTGTGTGCAAAGTATAGTCAAGAATATGGTCAATTGTGTCGAACCAGTGAGATTGGAACTGTCAACTCTCAGGTAGTACCTTTTCCAGAAATACATATTTTCCTAAACCAAGAAGTCTGGGAAATAGCTGGGCAAACTCAACATTCTGTATAGGCTCAAAACTTTAAGAATAAGTTTTGCATTGGGGGTAGAGTGACTTGGATAAAGGCCATAGGCTAGGGTATTGAACTCACAGCTTTATAAAAATGTCAGAGCCAAGGAAATTGAGTTGATTTTTTTAAAAAATTAAGCATGTATTTTTTTCCTAAATGTAATTGGCCTAGTAACATGAAGGAAGTTAAATGTAGAAGTTTCAACTTTAAAACATGTTCCATCATATCCACATACACGTAATTCTGGCATTCAGCTGAGATACAGTAATCTGGTCACAAAAAGAATCTGGCCACAGTTGCAGGCTAGTGGACATTCTCGTCCTTCAGTTTGCCCACTCTGATTGGTTATTGCCCTTCTGAACTGGTTGTGAAATATGTTGAGTATCACGCTTACATAATTCAAATGCTTATCACCTTATCACAAATTCTTAGTTCAAAATATTTTTGTGTTTGTATTCTTCCTCTTATTTTGTTTGGCTTGAGGTTTTTGGACTTCAGGATATGACTGTGGTACAAATACAAATGAGTAGCCCTGTGGTATATTCACAAGCAGGATTATTCTTTGTTGTTGCTAAATTATCTTAAAATAAAACAAAACAAAACTATGGTTGTCAAACAACAGAGACTAAAAAGATGAAGGACAATGATTCAGAGGTAAAAGACCCCTCCCCCCCCAAGTCCTTGTTGTATCTTATGTGGTAGGTATGTGTCTAACCAAGCTTACTATATTCTCTATTTTCCAGCTAATGTGTAAATTAAATGTGGACACTCTACCCCATGTCCTAGTGGAAAAATATCTGACAGAGATTGCTAAGAACTATAATGTGCCGTATAAACCCCCCGTTACGGTGAGTATGTTTAAGAAGGAATAACCGACTTAGAGCTGAGGTTTTTTTCTGGCACCGTAAGAGATTCCTTCTGCTTAGGGTTGTGGCTTTTGGAGTTTTGGTAGAATTGTAAAGTAGGTGCCATTTTCTCCCTCCATGTACTATTCCCAACAGTGCTTAACTTCTGCTGACTACCAGACGGCCCTTTTTGTCAGCAAAGAAATAGGATGAAGGGTAATCAAAGTGTGTAATCCTATAGTGTATAAAGCATTTATTTATAAATTGTTTACTGTGCTCAGAGTGAAAGTTTACAAAGTAAGTTGGCATTTCGTTCAACCTTATAAACATATTTTGTTTTATGACATTAGTTACAATCCCCACAGCCTCACTTCTCCCCTGTGGTTCTTGTTTTTACTAGTCCTTCAATCCTATCCTTTCTTGCCTTCTGAGCTTTAACTTTGGGCAGATGCTGCCCTTTGGATCTTCTATGATTGATTATTCCAAGAATGAGTGTTTCCCTGGTGTTGTTTACCTTCCAAGCCCCCCCCCTTTTTTTTTTTTAGTTTTTAAAATCTCAACTTTGTCTTGGGGATATTTTGTATTTTAAGAAAGAGTTCTTAGAATAACAGTTAAAACTCCAAGTCAGAAAGCAGAATCATTTAGTCCTTGTTAAGTGTATGAGATTAATAAACACTGAAGTATTCAGATCCTAGCTTCACCATTTATTAACCATAGGGCCTTAGGAAAATGACATATATTCTTGAAGATTGGGAGTGTAAAAATAAGGAGAATAACAGTTCCCAACTTATGAGTTTGCTGTGATGATTGTTGTTGTTGTTGTTCTGTGCCGTCAAGTCACCTGCGACTCATAGCGACCCTGTGTACAACAGCCCTAAACTCCGCTCTGTCCTGTGCCAATCGCACTGTCTCTGACACTCCCATCCCAATTATCCCAGTCACTGAATCAATCCACCTCATAGAGGGCCTTCCCCTCCTGCGCCGTCCCTCCACCCTCCCAAGCATGATGTCCCTCTCTAAGGACCGGTCTCTCCTCACAACATGTCCAAAGTATGTTAGACGGAGCCTCAGAATCCTTGCCTCCAAGGAGCCACCCGGTTTAACCCTCTCCAGGACAAATCTGTTTGTTTTCCTAGCAGTCCATTGTATTCTCACTACTCTTCTCCAGCACCACAGCTCAAAGGCATCAATTCTCCTTCTATCCTCCTTGGTGATTGTCCAACTCTCTGTGATGATTAGATGAGCTAATATTTAAGGAATGTAATGCAATGTCTGTTTTTGTTGTTGTTAGGTGTCATCAAGTCACTTATAACTCATAGCAACCCTGTGAACAACAGATTTGAACCCTGTCCTATCCTGTGCCATCCTTATCTTCCAGAGCCCATTGCTGCAGTCACTGTACCAAGCCATCTTACCAAAGGTCTTCTTCTCTCTCACTGACCTTTCCTCTTTCCAAGCACGATGGCCTTTTCTGAAGAATAATCTTTCCTCACCACATGCCCAAAGTGCGTGAAATGAAGCTTCACCATCCTTGACTCCAAAGAACATTCTGGCTGCACTTTCTCTAAGACTTATCTGTTTGTTCTCTTGGCAGTCCATGGGATATTCAGCATTCTTCTCCAACACCACAACTCAAAAGCATTGATTCTTCTTCTGTCATACTTTTTCATTGTCCAGCTCTCAGATGCACAGCAAACCATTGAGACGACCATGCCTAGGTCAGGTGTGCACCTTAGTTTTTAGACTGACAACAGTGCATTTTGTCACTCTGAAGACACCTTTGACAGCATGTTTATCCCAGTGAAACTTGTCTTTTGATTTCCTGACTGCTGGTGCTGAGGGTGTTGATTGTGGATCTGAGCAAGATGAAATTGTTAACAACTTCAGTCTTTTCTCCATTTATCATGATACTGCCTACGACTGGCCTAGTGGTGAGAACTTTTGGTTTCTTACTGTTGAGATGCGATCCATATAGAAGACTTCAGTCTTTTATCTCATGTCCTCCTGAGTCCTGGTGAACAAACTTGTGTCATCTGCATAACACAGGTTGTTGAATCATCCTCCTTTTCTAATGCCACATTCTTCTTCATGAAGTCCAGCCTCTCAAATGATCTGTTCAACACTGAAAAGGTATAGAGAAAGGATACATCCTTGATGCACTTCTTTCTTAATTTTGAATCATGCAATCAATGTTCCCTTGCTTTGTTGGGACAGTAACTCCTTGGTCTGGGTATAGGTTTTGCATGAGTGCAATCAAGTGTTCTGGGACTCCAATTCGTCTCAATGTTAGCCACAATTGTTGTGATCCACACAGTCAAATGCCTTTGCATAGTTCATAAAACACAAATAAACATTCTTCTGGTGCTCTCCGATTTCAGCCAATCCAATGTTCAGACATCAACAATAACATCCCTAGTGCCACAGTCTCTTCTAAACTAAGTTTGTATTTCTTGCAGTCCTCTGTCGATGTATTCTTCTAGTCTTTTTTGGATAATCTTCATTAAGATTTTGCTTGCATGTGACATTAATGATGTTGTTCAATAGTTTCCACATTCTATTGGATTACCTTTTTTTGGGAATGAGAATAAATATGGATCTCTTCCAGTCAGTAGGTCAGGTCGCTGTCCTCTAGATTTCTTGGCACAACCTGGTGTGTGCATCCAGGGCTGCATCTGTATGTTAAATTATGTTGAAATGAGATGGAGTCAGAAAATAAAAAAGGGTTTCATGATTGAGACACTTTAATATTTTTCATACTGGCGGCTTTTAAGTAGATCACTAATCTTTTGGGTTGCATATCCTTTATTGTGTGGGTCACTCTGCCAGTTCCCTATTGGGTATTTTAGGGGATAAGCTTGGGGCCAGATTGAAAAACTATGTCAGGGAAATAATTTCAGGGCATCCTTTCTTATCTACAGTTCTTATTTACATGACTTTTTATTATCTTTTTTGATCTTAAAATAAAAGCTCTATAATACATTGAAATGTTACATAGGAAAATTTTCACAAACCAGAAAGGGACCTTGTAGAAGTAGAAGCCAACAGGGGTGTAATGCCAAGTGGGCTGTCTGTGGACCTCTTCTCTTTCTTCCCTGCTCCCTGGATGATTATATCCAGCCTCCTAGTTTTCAATATGGTCTTATGGTGAAGAGGTCCTTCCACTTGTGTGTTATTACTAAGTCCTCCCTTCTGAACTCCATTCTCAGATATCCACGTTGGCATCTTGTATGCTTCAGAGGCACCTCAAATTTTACATACCCGTAGATGTGTTCATGGTAATCACCCCTTGTTAAAACTGACTCATGCTACAGTCTTTCCTATCTCAGTTAGTGGCAATTCTAGGCTACGGCAAAAATCTTAGTGTCTTCTTTGATCCTTCCCTTTCTCTGTTCATCTTCTCCGCAACCAGTCTGTTCAGAGAATCCTATTGACTTGATCTTCCACATAGATCTAGAATTTTGCCACTTCCCACTACATTTACTGCCAGTAACTTGACCCAATCCACAAGCATCTCTTGCCTGGATTATTACAATAGTTTATTCATTGTCTTTTCTGCTTCTATCCATGTTCCCAAGTAATTGATGTTCACTATAGCAGTCTGAAAAAGATAGGAAACCTCCTCCCAGGCAATTTACAGTCTCTGAAAACCCACTTGAGGGTCCGCTATGTGTTGGTTCTGACTTGACAGCACGTAGCAACAACATAGCAATCAGAGGGGGGCTCTGGTGCCCAAGTGGTAAAGATTTATACCTTTATACCGCCAACCAAAGGCGTGTGGTTCCAATCCACTAGCTGCTCTGCAGGAGAAAGATGTGCATTTCCTTCCCATGCAGTTTATACCTTCAGAAAACCCTCTAGAGGGTCAGCTATGAGATGGTTCTGATTAGACAGCACATAACAACAACAACAATAGCTTTCTGAAGTAATGTTAATACCCATGTCAGATCATGCCACTCTTCTACTTTGAAATTCCTCCAGTGGCTTTTAACTGCACTTAGAGTAACAGGCAAGGTCTTTTTTTTCTGTGGTCCAAGAGGCTGCCTACATGCATTCTCCCCTCCTTCTCTGAGCTCAGCCTTTCTACACGCCCCCTTGTTTGCTCTACCTCCGCCACCCTGGCCTCCTCATAGGTCTTCAAACATACCAGGCGGCCCCACCTTGGAACCTTTGTACTTCTGGTTCCCTCTGCTTCTCTAGATAGCTGCTTGCTCCCTCTCTTACTCCTTTCAGTTCTGTACTCGAATTCTCCCTTCATTTTAAGGCCCTTCCTGGCCACTTTTTTAAAAAAAAATACTAACCTCTTCTCTTTTCATGGCTTCATTCTTTTTTTTTTCTCAGTAGACCTTCTAACCTGCTGTGTGTTGTTGTTGTTTATGCGCCATCGAGTCGTTTGCAACTCATAGCGACCCTATGTACAACAGCCCTAAACCCTGTTCCATCCTGTGCCAATCGCATTTCCTCTGACACACCCATCCCGATTACCCCAGTCACTGAATCAATCCACCTCATAGAGGGTCTTCCCCTCCTGCGCTGTCCCTCTACTCTACCCAGCATGATGTCCTTCTCCAAGGACCTGTCTCTCCTTACAACATGTCCAAAGTATGTCAGACGAAGCCCCAGAATCCTTGCCTCCAAGGAGTAGCTTGGTTTAATCCTCTCCAAGATGAATCTGTTTGTTTTCCTGGCAGTCCATGGTACATTCAGTACCCTTCTCCAGCACCACAGCTCAAAAGCATCCACTCTCCTTCTGCCTCCCTACTCATTGTCCAACTCTCTGATGCATAACAAGCGATTGCAAAGACCATGGCCTGTATCAGGTGCACCTTAGTGTTAGGGACCGACATATGGTAGGTATGCAATAAACAAATGTATAATAAATTAAGAACTCAACTTGATTCATCAGGCTGAAGCCCCAGTGGACCTGGGCTGTACCAGAGATACTGAGGATGTCAAGAAAGGTGCTCTTGGCAGAGGAGGTGGTCCTACAGCAGGAACTGGGGGTCCCCTCCAGGGGTCACCAATGCCTGCACCAGGGTTCTTGCTTGTGTCACCCCCAGCCTCCTGTTTCTCACCACTTCCTTCTGAAAGGCAGGTTAGTATTCACAGGGCACCTGAATCTGGAATGGATTATGGGAATGCAAGAATATATTTCTAGCTGGGTCTTTTTGGTAAAGGAGATGGTAAAAATGGTCTTTTTAAAGTTTTATAAGACT